GTGGGTGTGGGTGTGGGTGTGTGGGTGTGGGTGTGGGTGTGGATGTGTGGGTGTGGGTGTGTTGGTGTGGGTGTAGGTGTGGGTGTGGGTGTGGGTGTGGGGTGTGCGTGTGGATCGCACTATACCCACACCCACACCACACCCACACCCACACCCACACCAACACCCACACCCACACACCCACACCCACATCCATACCCGCCCACACCCACACCCGCAACAATATTGATGAAGGATCATGAGAAGATGTACGTTTTTTTTTCTTTTTACGAGCTTGTCTATGTCGTTGTAGAATACGTTCATAACGTAAACGTTTTTTAGCACTTCATGGTAATCGTTTCAACTTCGTAGATTCGTTTTCAACCTTATGGACAAGAGTAGGAGATTCAGATGACATATCTTGATTTCAGAAAATCTAAAAGAAGCTAATCGTCATGAGCAGATGAAATATAATTTGGGGTATCAATCAAAAAAAAACATTCGAAAAGTATGGTACGTACCCACACGGCGACGAAGTGCCAAATCAATATCGACAGTTGCACCAAGAGAGGGCGCCACATATGTCACCCCTTTTTGAAGAACTTTTGATACTATATTTTGAACTCATCATGTGATTTAATAATTTTGGTAATAATAGTTTTTCGGGTCCTAGTCCGGTTTAAGAGATCATCACTGATTGGTCGCTAACTATGCACGGAACTTATTGTCAAAGTCAAAACAATGATCAGAATGAGTAACGTGAAGATGCTTTTCCCCAATCATGTTAAAAAAATTACTAACGACACCTAGCGGAGCTTTTGAATGTTACTTTTTTATAGAAAACCAAAATTACCATATGATAGAGAAAATTTTTCTCTATCTACTGATACCTAAGTGATATTTGGCCCTTCCACAAATCGAAAATCACCAATCATGTTGGACTCGCTTTCGTTTCTTCTATTTCATTATGCTGTTTGTTGTGTGGGTCCGTACTACTTGTTCATTATTAAGATCATTTTTTTCAATTCTAGAAGAAAAATAAACGACAAATGTCTTCGATAGATTCGATTACATTCGATCTACCGAATGATTATGTAGAAAATATTCTTGATCTTGATGATATTAATACACGTCTAGAAAGTAATATTAAATTTCATTTAAATAGAATTCTAGTTTTTTTTTAATGTAGATATTGCACAAGATCAAGAACCAAAAGAATCATTCGATACATTTTCATTATTCTACAGTATTGCCATGTAAAAATTTTCCCTTTCTTCTTATTTTTCAATAAGATTATTTTGTTTTTGTAGTCATTTTGATAAAGTATCGATTACTGGACGTTCTCAAGCAGTTGAAATTTTACTTCAATGTAAGAATTCTTTTAAATATATGTTTTTAATAAGAATTGTTATTAAAATAGTAATATCACGTGAAATGACTGAAGTTCAAAGACGAATTCATATTGATCTTTCAAGTGATGATGGTCGTTTTCATTTAAATATTATTAAAATGCTTTCATTTCTTCTTGCTGAATATATTATTCGATTTGATAATGATCAAACAAATAAATCACCAGATTTTGATATGCCTCCATCGGAAGTATAATTTATTAATGAAATTTTTTTATGAAAATAATTTTATTTATTTATTATAGAGAAGCAAAAAGCTAAAGAATCGAAAACTAATGGAAAATGAAGTTTAACATCGGATTCATTAAGAGATAAATGTTTAAAAGGTCTTTGTGATATTCTTGGATCATCTATTAAATCCTTATGGGGTTCATCAATTATTGATCAAGAATTTGTCAAGTAAATAATTATTTCATTTTTATATATTTAATCATAATAATTTTCTTTAAAAGATGTGTGACTAAACCATGTTATCATTTACTTCGTCGAAAAGATATTTCAAAAAATCCAATTGTTAAAAAAAATCTTCCATTAATTCTTATTATTGTGATTCATGAATTTGAACATGCACCAGGTTAATTTAAATAAAAATAAATTAAATAAGATTACTTTTGATTTTAGAAGCGTCTATTCAATTTATTCAAGCAGTTAAACATGATGATAATAATTCAAGTTTACTTAAAACTGTTCTTAATTCACTTTTAGTTGATTATCAAGATACATCATTAGCTATTCAGCTATTAAAGTTTGTTTTATTTATTTAATATTGATTTTCTTTAAAAATAAAAGTATTCATTTAGAGAAATTTGTGAAACTAATTTTGTTGGTACACAAGTTGATAATGCATCTACTAAAACAATGGCAACATTTAATTATTGATATGGCTCGACTTGATCCACATATTATTCGAACATATATTCATCAAATAAATGATTTATTAACAGCTGAAGTAATTTTTGAAAACAAACTAATTCTTCTATCTTATCTTTAACAGAAATCAAAGATACATATTCAACAATCCAAAGAATTTGAGATTAAAAACAATAATTCCCTAGATGTTTAGAGTTGCGATTTGAAGAAACTGTCGAAGTTTGCTCGTAAAAATAAAAACTTGATGTATTCAGGTATGGTTTAAAAATAAATTTGTTGATACAAGGAAAAGCAAATAGTAAAGATATATGAAAATACTTTTCAGACACTCCGTATAATATGGATTGAGAATAGAGCCGGTCAGGTAGAATTCAGGTTCGGGTCTGAAAATTTCCTGTGGACCAGACTTGGATCTGGAAATTTTCTGCCAACTAGATGAGGGTCTGACTTGACAGTTGCTACTTTGGAAGTAATAGCTAACTAGAACTTTATTCTTAAGTGATCACTATCAAAATTTCTAGAGGGTGTGGGTGGGTGTGGGTGGGGTGTAGGTGTGGGGTGTGGGTGGGTGTGGGGTGTGGGTGTGGGTGTGTGGGTGTGGGTGGAGGTGTGGATGTGGGTGTGGGTGTGGGTGTGGGGCGGGCTGTGGGTGGGGTTGGGTAGGTGTGGGTGAGTCTTCACTTCGACCAGACGTACATCTGTATCTACACCCACACTCATACCCCCCCCCCCCCCCCCCCCCCCCCCCCCCCCCCCCCCCCCCCCC